ACTTCTTCAGATATTAAAGTATTCTGGAAGTTTAACGTTATGAATGTCAACTACCAAGGTATCAGTAGCCGGGCTAGCGTAGTTGGTACAGCGACTGCCTACGGGCTGGACGACTTAGGGGTCGGAGTTCGAGAACGTTCTCTTCCCCACTTCATCCAGACTGGCCCTGGGGCCCACCTAGCCTCCCATCCAAGGGTTACCAGGCCCGCTTTCCCCGGGGGGAAAGCGGCAGAAGCGTGAATCTGACCACTCACCTCCAACTAGTGCCGACGTCAAGAAAATGCGGATCTATACTCCCATTCACTCATATGCCTTATGGCGTAGTGCTTAATTAATTAATCACAGAGAAAATTTACCTTATTTACTTTTAACCCTCAAGTAAAATGAACATTGCCATTCACTGTGGCCACGCGGTCTAAGGCATGAACACTCTTCGCTCGCTGGAACGCTGTGATCGTGGGTTCGAATCCCACTCAAGGCATGGATATCTGTGTGTGCGTTTTTTCTGTGTGTAAGTAGCGCGGCCTTGCGACGGGCTGATCACTCGTCTAAGGAGTCCTACCGTCTGTGTAAAAAAGTTTAGGAAACTGAAGAAGAGGTCAGGGCCCAGCAAAGGGCTGTGGATCCATTTATGAATGAATGAATTTGGACATTCGCAAGTCTTCAAATTGGTTGGTTATTTGTGCAGCGTTTATTATACGTGTATATATCTGCTAACTTTTGAACAAAAATTTAAGAAATCTAAGCTCAGTAGATGCCGGTTATGGTAGCCTAGAAGTCTAAGTCATGTAGTGTCTTCGCTCGCTTGGAAACCGAGATCGTGGGTTCGAATCCCACTCAGGGCATGGATGTTATTTTGTGTGTGTGTGATTTTCTGTGTTTGTGTACAGGTAGAGGCCTTGCGACGAGCTGATCACCCGCCCAAGGAGTCATACTGGGTGGGTAAGATGTAGAAAAACCGAAGTGAACGGAGAAGTTAATGGAGGTAGGCCTAGGCCCACTGGGGCTGTAGTGACAAGGGAAAAAAAGCTCAGTGGATACGAATTAGAAGTAACTTTAATATAGACCTAAAATTATGTACAACGGAAATATGTTCGTTAGTTTTGGAAATAAGTTCTACAGACAGACAAGTGGCACTTTCTATCACACACTTGTGAATTTCTTGCACGGAACACAAAATACATGGCCCCAAAGACCTGTTTCGAACTCGCTATGCAACATTTGGATCAATACTGATGCTGCTGTAACATGAGATAAGTGAAATTGTCACTACATTCTCCGTCTCCACCTGAAGCCGCAGGCGTGTCGTAATGTGCAGTGTGCAAATGTTCCAGTAAAAATATTTGCTCCCTTGCTTGTGGGTTTACAGTGGGTTGTTTTCTGCTTCTGTGACTCCAACGCGATAGCTTAATAGCTTATCAATCTTAGTAAGCCAGTAGAAAAATACATTCTCATTGGTAGAAATTTATGAACCATATCTTACTGCGTGTATGTGTCTATATATATATATATATAT